AGGGATCATCTGGACAGGGAAGGACATAAAAGACGGGTAAAATCAATAGCACAACTCTGGGTAGTGCTGCGAGAAGCCTGGCATAGTGTATTAAAAACAAATCTTCTTTTTTATATATATATATTTTATACTTTTGCCGAAGACAGTTTTCTGTAAAACTGCAGCTGGACTGCAGTTGTTGTATAAATGATGATTCAAACGTTTGCATAAACAACAAAATGAGAGGCGGCCTCTGACCTTTGACCAGGGTATATATATATATATACGTATATATATATACACATATATATATATTTAAACACATATATGTGTATATATATATATATTTAGTGAGCGAAATATGACCCAATAACTGACAAACCCTTTATCTATCGTGTGAAACTATGTATGTACAAACACCACTATGATCACCAGAGAAAAAAAAGGGCAGGAGGAAGAGTCGCATAACAATGAATTCAACATACTGCAAGGACGACAATGTACTGTAGACCGTATGCCTCTACTCTAAACAAAAACATGAACAGTAGGATATTTGAAACACAGTACAAACAGCTGCAGGCTCAAGGCTATTCCGCTAACTTTCAATATGGTTTTCTTTTTTGTTCTGGAGAAAATGTGTGTACACCCTCGGAAACAAACAACGAAAAAAAAAAAAAAACCCTAGGCTTTATTTATTTACTTAAACCCCCCCCAAAAAGGGAATCCTAGCCACTAGAAGAAGCACGATGGAGATAAGGACTGATTTTCTCGGTATAACTTTTTCGCTCCACTGCGCAATAGAAAATTAAGCACCACCACGATTAGCTGAAGCGGGAGAAGGAATATATAACTGTGGACACGTGATGCTAATGTAACAGCCAAAGGTTTAAAGAGAAAAAAATTACATTTTTTTTAGCCTGGGTTATGTTAGAGCGTAGTATGACACACTGGAGAGAAGGGGGCGTCGCCCTCTGAGCCTGGTCTGCGATTATCAAACACGGTTATGATACAAAAAGTCAACTGACCGTGGGACGAGATGATAGCCCTCATCTGGATCAGCTTGAGATTGGCTACTTTTGTTATTCCAAAAAAAAAAAAAAAATAGAGAGAGAGAAAGAGATTTATAGTGTAATTCTTGACATAAAAGGAAAAAAACCCAACATCGAGCTACTTTACCTACTATTTAGACCAATGATACCACAAAGCTGGTTGTACTCATCTAGCTACAGTCAATAGTGCATTTGATATATGTGTTTACACAAAATATGTAAAACTTTTTTTTTCGGTGCGGTGAAGGAATGCTATATCACTGAATTACACACGACTACACAGAACCAGTCGCACGGACGCCTCTGCCTTTTGCGTTGAGAGAAGTGACGATGTCGGTTTTGGCAGTGTTAAACCTTGGTACTGAACAGACAACTAGCACCAACATCGCGAGCTGTGTGCCGCCGGCGCGGCAATACTGTTGGAGAGAGAGAGAGAGAGAGAGATGTCGGCAGTTGCTTACATGTTCTGTTCTTTAGTGCATTGTCTGTTAAGGCATGAGATTCACCCCCCAAACCCCCCCCCCACCTGCTGTGTAGAGACAAATATTAGCACTAGCATGCAGCGATGTCGCCCTCCCCAGCAAACACGGCTACAAACAGGTACCGTACAGTTTAGGCTTATATTCGCACCCTAAGACGCCGGCTCGGTCCAACGGTAAATAGTGTGCTACTATCACGAGGACGGAACTCGTGCTCTTTCACTGCGGCGTCGCTGCTGTAGTAATCGCCCGAGGACCCGAGCACCTGCCGAGGACAGAGACGTTGACGTTGACGGGTTTTTTTAGGCGACATAATCCTTGGGCACAACCATGGGTACGCCATAGGTCAGCACCGTGTGAGCGTGTGTCCCAGGTGGACCACTAAGGATATATCCGTGAAAAATCCGAGGCTAGTCACCACGACGCGGTCATCGGATTGAATCGACAAAGTCACAGTCGTGAAGGAAACGCTCAGGTTCTAGTCAGTTGAAGGTGGAACATGCCGGAAGTTTCGTAAATATATATGATGGTTTTACACAGAAGCGGGGATTGACCAATGAGGTTGCAGGGCCGTCGACAGGGTTCATGGTTTCTGGTCTCTGGAGCTGTATACCTAGCACCTCAGCACCGCGAATGGATCTCGAAAAATGAAACAAAAATACACTTGTTCCTAAAATAGCTCTTCCCAACACCGAATGATTTTATTTGCATAGGCTTGACTCTGGGCCCAACCACTGTGAAAGGCTGTGAAGGGAGAAACTGCAGCTAGAGGGCACCACCGTGCACTATTTAAGATGACGTTTGTTTTCCTGATTTCCTTATTCATTTTCACCATAATTTATGTAGAAAATTCCTGCGTACTCCACCTTTAACCACTAGCGGGAAAAAAATTTAAACGCACAAAAAAAAACCACACAACGTTGCCCCCGCAGGATTTACCGCGCAAACCCCTAATTTGATGAACGGATATTAAAAGGTTTTCGTGATTGAACTTTTCCTCTTCGGGCAGTTTACTGTTTTATCGCAAATTATCTGCGACATCCACAGCGACATCGTAGGGTTGTTGCCTGGCACCCGGGTCGCGATCACATGATCACACAGCATATGAAAAAGGTGCTCGGGTCCTTTAAGTCCCGTCAGTCCTGCCTGCGATGCTAGTTTCCCGTGAAGGACTTCGCCTCACTCCGACTACACGTGGACGTGAATCTAGTAGCGTTTTTTTTTTTTACGAATCGTTTCCACACCGTCCTCCCTAAACCACACGGTCAACAGCACTGGGCGTCGGCTCCATAAATGTCGCAGGTGACGGATTGGCCCCCAGGGGGCGGGCTCTGGTCTGGTCTGGTCTGGTTTGGTCTGGAGAGACTGCGTCTCTACAGTAGTACCTGTGCTGCATATTGCGAAGGAAGCCCTACAGTTCCGATATTCCACTTATCGAACAGTTTGATTAGGCTAGTGACCACACACACGTGACACCCACAGACGTACGAAACACGAAGGAAGGGACACCACTGTGTACGAGTGACGGACAGATACCGAAAAAAGCTG